GAAATCGCGTTGAGTGACCAGCTGACCAGATCCATTTTTAATAATTTCCAGTTTCCAGAAAAAAATGCAGACGCGCCGTGCACACAAGACAGGACAAAGAGCCTTGGGATAAGATCAGATCACAATCTTGTTTTTCTCTGCTCAGAATACAAACCACTTGTTTAGAGGCAACCTGCGACAAGACAAACTGTGAGAAAATGGTCACAGGACGCTGAAGAAGCCCTGCAGGGTTGTTTTGAGACCACAGATTGGCCGACTCGCTGCCAAGGATATGAAGAGGACATCAATGCCATGACTGGATGTGTCACTGACTATATAAACTTCTGTGTGGACAACATCATACCCACCAGAACAGTGAGATGCTTTGCTAATAAACCCTGGATCACCAGTGAACTGAAGAATCTGCTAAATGAGAGAAAAAAAAGAGCCTTCAAGGAGGGAGACAGGGAATTATTTAGGAGTACACAGAAGCAACTGAAAAGATCAGAGACAGCAAGGAGGCATACAGGAAGAAGCTGGAGAACAAACTACAGAGGAACAATATCAGACATGTCTGGTCAGGGATGAAGAAGATCACAGGCTTCAAGCAGAGGAAGGATTGCACAGATGGCAGCCTGGACACAGCCAATGAGCTGAACAAGTTCTTCAATAGGTTCAGTTCAGGAACAAACCCAGCATCCTCCTCGCCTGTCCCCAGCCAATCAGACATCCCATCCTCCTCTGATCCAACATTTTCCTGTCACACGCCAGCTCTTTTGTCCTCTAACGCAGCCATGGACTCTTCTGGTTCTATAAATCTGTCTTCAACCAAGTCAGGAGATGCTGCTGCCCCATTTACCTCCCCCTCCCAGCTATCTGTCTGCAGCTCCTTTTTGCGCACATCTCGTTACTCGTGCAGCCTTCCTCTCTCTCTCAGCTACATAATGATGCTTTTTATTAACTGAATATGTGAGACTTCCACCAACAGCAAAAGGATCTCATGTTTTTGTGTTTTTTTTTATGTTCACAAGCACATTCCCTCTCACGGATTACTAAACTGCTGTTTTGAAAAGTTATCAGATTGTCTAAAAATAGGTTGTTTTTTAGTTTAGTATAACTCCGCTTTTACGTTGCCTATTAAAACATTTAAAAACTGGGGTGTAGTTTATAATCTCCTTTTTAAAGCTGAATTGAAACCGAAACTCAGGGAGGCGGAGTCTTGCTGCTACAGCTTCCCAAATCAGACCTGTTCAAAAGACGCAGATACGCGTCCATGGACCCCAGAGGGTTAATAAAACACAATTTAAATCACACTTTTTTTCTTAGGCCCATTAAAACCACACATATGATTTTGTTCATGTGGAAAGTTTATGTGGTTAAATCCAACAACTACCGGTAAACACATTCTGAACTTCAACACAGTGCATCAGCGCTTGAAGAGTAGCTGTGACCCCAAAAGTACCAGAACCGCTCACGGCGCATGCGCAATCATGCTTCAAGACTGCTCGCCCGCTATTTCCCTAATAACACACGCTGTTCGTTTTTATTTCTACACGTTTTTTTTTTACTCACAAAGATTGTCAAGAAAGCGTGTTTGTCGTGTTCATGTCAAATTAAACTGATCACAAAACACAGATTTACTTTCTTTATTTCGTTTTCCTCATCCAAACCCCATAAATCCCTGTGTGTCCTCCTGCAGCACTCCCGGTGTACGCCCGGCTTTAGTAGGAGGGAGACCCGCGATTATCGCTCATGTCTCATTGAAAATGAATGGAGGAGAGGCGAAGTTGCCTCCCGTGTGTCGAGCCCATTAGAAGAGCAGGAGCCGTCAGCGCACGCAATGAGGAAGTGCACGTGCGCTCTAAACCAGGTCTGAACCAGGACTAGACCAGTAAAGTGAAGCATGCTTTTGGCTTTTTATAATTTTCACAATGTCTGGTTTGCACTGATATGTTCCAAGTCCCGAGCCCGCGTTAAATACCAAAAAGACACCCGTAACTGAAGCTGCACCCTATAACACGGTGCGCCCTATGGTCGTGAAAATACGGTAGTTGATTTTAAACACACAAAGTACCCTGTCAATGCCAGAAGCTAAAGCACATATGTCAGACTCAAGGCCCGCGGGCCAGATGCGGCCCTCGGAGCATTTTTATGTGGCCCGCGAGATAAATATCAAAAATATATTAAAACTGGCCCGCTGGCCGATTTTACCGCACAGACTTCAACTCCCATGATGCTTTGCGGCGTCAGCGCAGAGCCGACGCGCCCCCTCCTTTGTGTTTTTTCCAGCGCCTGCTGCCGGGTGTGTGCAGCTCCACTGTCTCGGACAAACTACACTCCTCTCACTCAGCGCCGAGTTTACTCAGCTACTTTCTGACGTTGAAGCCCAGAAACAGAGATTCTAGCCGCTCAGTAATGTGTTCACGACTGAAAGAGAAAGTTTTCCAACTAACGTCCAGATAGAGCTGATATAACTCCAGCGAACAGCGACACGCTCAAACCAGCACGGCTCTGTGGCTGCTGTTGTGTTTCCTCCCCGACACACAACGTGGTCAAGCTGCTCAGACATGTTCATCAGCACAAACCTATGTGAGCACCTGTTGTCATTATTATGATGAAGATGAACAAAACAACAGGAGTCTCCTCCTCAGCTCAGATCAACCCCATGATGCAGGTATCTGGCTGGAACAGGTGAGCATCACAGTAAACCAGTGGAGCGAACTGAGCGTTAAATATGTTGGTTTTATGCTCTTTTTCTGCTCCAAAACATGAAAGTTAACAGGTGAGATGTTGCATTTTCATTTAAGATAAAATTATTTTTTATTTTGTTGTTGGCCCGTGAGAAAAGATTTAACCTACAGTAAACAGGAAGTGGAAAGGCTGCAGATAGATGAATAGAATAGAAAATCCCTTTATTGTTCCTCAGTGGGGAAAGCTAGATGTCACAGCAGCGATAACACTTATTACAGGAGAAAAAAAGGAGAATAAAAATAAGAAAAATGAATAAACAAGAAAACATAAATCCTGAATAGATTTTAAAAATGCTGATTATACCACAAGTAGTGAATACCACTGATGCCTTTTATTTCAAACTGACTTGCTCGTGTGTAATTTGGTTATTCCACATTCAGTGTTAATGCAGAAATAAGTTTGTTTCCAAATTTAAAGGTTCAAAACTGCATATATGTTGATAAAGAAAATGTGCAAATTTGCCGTCACTTTTTCAAAAAATATTAAGTTTGGCCCTCGACTCAGTCCCAGAGTTTCATTTCGGCCCCGTGTGAGTTTGACACCCCTGAGCTAAAGATCAATCTCCACTCAGGCCTCCTGATGAATATCACCAGTCAGACTTTCTACAGGCTGGTCTCTAACGGGCGCCAGATTTCTAGGTTTAAACTGATTCAGTCCCCCCGGCTGCAATAGTGTCCTATCAGAGGCTTTGCATGTCCTCTGATTATCACCCAGGAAGAGGTCATCCACTAATAAATCTGGGACAGAGTGGGGGTTAGGGCTGGGCGATATGACGATTTTAGACCGTTTTACGATCTACACATCTGACGGTCTGTCATTTTTGAGAGACCGTTTTATGACGATTCACAGCTCTGCTGTTGAATTTCTGCCTCTGAATGAAAAGGGAACTTACCCCAGGCGAATGACACGCCTTTGTTTGACCCTTAACCAATCAGAGTGAGTCATAGTAATATATTAGTGCCCCGCTTGTTTTCACTTGTGAACAAACATGGCTTCGCCGCGGCTGAGCGACAACGAGGTTTTTGTTCCGAAGAGGAACGCAGGGTTTCCTTAGCGCGCGGCGCTAACAACTTAGCGACGTGACATGTCTCGGAGAAAGCGTAAAAACACGTTGGACGCTTCTTCTGAAGCAGGAAAATAACACCGCTTCTTAAGCAGAGCACGACGCCGCCTCGGCTCGTTCACCCTCTGCCGAGCCGGTGTCGGTACCGGACTGAGCTCGGTCGCTGGAGCTGCCCCGTGACTGCCTGATGGAAAACCAGCGGGTTTCATCAGACTCGTAGTTTCTTGTTTTTGCTGGGACCCCCTGTATTTTACCGCTCCCTCCTGCAGTCTTCCCCTATTAACATTTAAAATGATTCTGTAAACTCCGTGTATCAATAGAAACAATCTCTGCTTCTGCCAGCTGCATTAAATGTAGTTTCCAAATAATAAGAGGTGCATTTATCTGTGTATCTCCTTTCATCCGCATTAGTGATATTTTCAGCACCAGAACAGTGAAGCAAAGAAAGAATCCTGAGTTTGTTAGTAATTTTATTAGGTGCATCTAACCTGTGCTATTTTTCTCTGAAATGAGATCAAATCAGTGCTTCTATGGGTTGTCTCCAATCTGCACTGGAAAATTTTACTTTATTTAGAGACTTGTTGCAGAAAATATTCAGAATGCGCAGTTATTTGCTACCACAAGCGATCTCTGGTCCAGCCGCACATCAGAGCCGTATTTGAGCTTAACTATCCACTACATGAGCAACTGGGAGCTACATAGTATTTTGAACAAGTTAATGTTTGCACAATACGTTTGCAATTGACATGTTTGCATTTTAAATATGTTTACGATTTTAATTTATGTTAAGTTACTTGAAAAACGAGAAAAACTGATTTTTGTAATTGTTTCTCTCAGGGCTTTTATCATCTCTGGTGTGAGTTTAAAATATAAGTGTGTTAGCACTGTGCTGATTATCCCTAATATGAATAAATGTTTATTTATTCAATGTTTCTCTTCTTTAATAAGCAATTGAAGTTATGCTATTCATGGATAAAAAATCGTGATAAAATCGAAATCGTGATAAAATATTGGAAAAATCGTGATATTCTATTTTTGCCATATCGCCCAGCCCTAGTGGGGGTTGCAGTTTTGTATTTGGAAGGCCATAATACAACAGATGCATGACTCATAATAGACAGCCCTGCAGAAGTTAGGAGCCTGGCCATCACTTCGAACTGATTCAAGTTTAACATCAAGAATAAAAAGGAGAATTTTCTCCACACACCTGTGAAGAGAGATCTCTCCATTCTGCGTCTCCCTGGTCGTGCACAGTAACACTTTTGACTCCACCCAGAATGACATTCTTGGCTATTTCAACTCCAAGACCTCTCATGCCAGAAACAAGGACACTGGAGTTCTGCATGCGCTTCATTGCATCATGGCCCAACACGTAGCTAAAGAAGAAAGATGTGACAGTGTGAGCGTCCTGTCACACAGAGTAATAATAATAATAATAAAAAAAAAAACAGATGTAGATTTGTTCAGCTTGACATCTCACAGCTGTCTGGAGTACAGGCCCTCATCGATCTCAGCATCATTGCCATTCTTAGCCATACCCTGTAAAGAGACAGCAGTTAGATTTGATGGTGCTTTATAAGCAGTAGAACCGGTGTGTATCTGCACTTACGTTTGCAGGTGTGTGTGACAGATCAGTTCTGACAGAGTTAGAGGAGGAGCAGTGGGATCCCGTCTTCGTCTCTGTTCCTGACAAGCGACGCTTCTTGGACAGCGGGGAGCTGGACATCTGAATTCGCAAACACGACTTAAAAAAACCATCCAATTCAAGGCTTGATTCTTACAGTAAACAATTATTGGCAGTCATAACAAATCAAACCAAACTACAAAAGTCAAAATCTTAAGTCCTTGCATTTTAACGCCGTTTTCACAAAATGACAGAAAATCATTAAAAGGTTCTATTGTGACGCGTGTCTGAGCTGAGGAGAAGCAATTTAGCCCAGAGAGCAGCTGGGCTGGCTGCAGGCCAAACGCCAATCTGCTAGAAAAACGAGCCGTGCCTGAGTAAAGCAGTATTATATGTTCTTTTCACACGCAGGAACAGAGCTGGTTTGTTTAAGTCACTCTTACTGTTTGTTGCATGATTGTATACAGACCACCAGCAACGTTTCAATAAAAACAGCTGAATCATTAAAAGTTCACTGCGGTAAAGAAAGCCTTTAACACACCAATTCAGTGGTGTGGAGACAAGTACCACAGTGTGTTGCAACTATAATCAGTCCAAAGGACAGGCTATAATATATATATATATATATATATATATATATATATATATATATTAGTGTGTGATTAAGACATTATTCTGGAAAAACTAACCGCAGTGGAAGTAAAGGGAAAAGGACCGCGGTCTGTGGATCACAGTGACCCTTACACTGAATGCTGACAGTCACAATTTCCGCATTAAATGCAGTTGACTTGTCTTTGTCCCTGAAGCCTCGATAGTCCACCAACTTTATAACGATAAACAACACAAGTCAAAACCCCCAGTCGTTCCAACAAGCTAGAAATAAACCACTGGAACACAAGAATGAAAGCATTCGGCGTGATACAGCAAAGCCACCTATAGATTCAAAACCTCATTAAAAGACATATCAGCTAGCGATTGATTTTGAAGCTTTGAATGTTTTAAGAAATAAAACAGCGGCTGTGGGTCCACAACACCTAAATAAAGCTCGTTAGGTTTGGAGCCTCTAATCAGGAAAGTGGTTTTGTGGGAGGACAGACGACATTAATAACTTAAAGGGAAGAAAACCGCAGGCTGCCAGCCCATCCATTAGCGGCTCGGCCTGGGCCTACAGTGCGGAACACAACTTTACAAGCTAGCAGCTGCGGCTACACAACCTGCTCGCAAACCGGAGCAACTGCTTCATTTGACAGCTAACTTCCACAGTTCTAACACGGACGTGACCCACGAACACGAACATACCATTTCACCTTATCGTGTAAACATCAGACTCCGTATAAATTCACGACCACCAACAACACCCGTGCTTCATTGATTTCAGTATTCTTACCAATATTCCTTCCCGGTCCCTTCCCTAAGCGAACCCGCTCCTCTCCCGCAGTGTGGTAACGTCGCTAACACCCGGTAACTGTAAACTCGACGAACGGTAGCAAGAAAAGAAAGCCGAGGTGGGATTAGGATGGGCTGCACTATAGTGTCGAGTCACTATGCCGTTAAGCCGAAAGCCTCTCCCGTGCTATTGCGTTGCTGCCGTTGAGACTGTAGACGGGAACAAAACCAAAATGGCAGCTAGGGAGAAAAGGGCGGGGGAACTGTGACGTCATGCCAAAAATATTCAACAAGGAAGGACTGGTAACTTCGGCAGGCCGTGGTACCATATAATCAAACCACAAGGGTAATTTGTTTTTAATAATTTAGATCCTCCTGGTCACAGTGATTGACTAGATAGAACCAAAACGATGATATCTAAAATAATGACGCTACTATTAAAATGTATTTGAAGATAAGATCTCAACTGCTATATTTCAGCACATTTTTAAGAGATTGTACTTTTCTTAAATGTTTGATTTTAGAAATTACATTGCCTTTGCATGTTTCAATTTTACATGTATTTTGGGGGGTTCAGCTTCAGAAAAGATCTTGTTTTTACAATTAACATCTTTTATGTGCAAAATTGAAATATCACTAGAGTAAATTCACAATCAGATGTAAACAGTGTAATTCCTAACGACTTTTTAATGAGTTAACTTTAATGTGTGGCTTTAATAGCACAGCACAAACAAATCAAACATTTCTAAGAACAATAACTCTCCCAATAACTTAATACATCTAAAATACTGTAGAAAATTGTAAATGCAGTTTTGTTAGTCATTATTTCAATTATTTATTAAAGAAATGCAGCATATTGTCATTGCAGATGTAAAATCTTGTGAAGATTGTCAACATTATATTAGACATCTGGCTTTCTCCAGACAAAAGTCACAACTACCAACAACAGATTTTTTTAAATCTTTGAGTACACCTCAGTAAGAGCTCTCTCTATATTCCAGTATTCCACGAAGTCCTTTAATTAAGTCTTAACTGATAAGCTGCACATATGTACATTAGTTTAAATGCTAACACAAGAGCTTTTCAGTAGGCTACTATTGTTTTTCTAAAGACAATACAATCCTACTTGATTCATTCTAAATGTAAAGAACACCCAGGTAGAGACAGCTCAGTACACATAAACGAGATATTATTTGTCTAAACATACACATCTGAAATGCTGATTGTGGATCAAGTGAAACTAACGTCAACTTTTCCATAGCTAGGGTAAATGAATGTTAAAAGTTTAACTATTATATGACACATTGACTTGCCACAAAATGCTCTGTTACACTTATTTGATTGGCTCTTTCTACATTCGCCCGCCCCTGCTACTAGAGGATGCATGCGTGCCTTGTATAACACTGTACAATGAACTACAGAAGCTCTAACAATTGTAAAAACTAGTTCATAATTCTAGAAACGAAACACTATAGAATATCTAACGCAGTTGAAGACAAAAGTACAATAAAACATATCCAAGGCAGCGCAAAAGACTGGAACAAAATCCAGCAAAATCTCATCTTTGTTTCTGTGACACTACATTGTAATGTCATCGTACTTAAGAAGCAGGCCTGCACAGAGCTAACACTTTGTATGCCAAAATATTATGAAAATGTAAATAAATCATTTAAAAATACAACTTCTATGAAAACACGTCCGCGTGGACATTTGTGAGCAAGAATAGACCATATATCTTACTGAAGAGTTGAATAATTATTACCAACTCTGACAGTGCTGCAGCCATGAATGAAACGGACACAACATTAGGTGCGCTGGTTGAAAGCTGAAGTGATGCTGAGCGTCAGGGCACTTTGGCTGAGGGTATGGGTGAGCATTCCTTGCAGATGAGTATTGGGGGAGGGGGTGCCCAGCAAATGACAAAGGCCCAGAAAAAGACTGGGCCGCATAATCTCGGGTACACGTGTCGCGGGGATCCCCAATTTCCATGTTCCGGTTACAAAATCATGGGGTAAAACAAAATCCCACCATTCTGATGCACCCAGCACAATTAGGTCAGGATTAACGGCTGCCTAACCTGACACGCTGAATTGACCACTAATGATGATTACCACCGAGATTCGTGCCATCGCAACGTAATCTCAAAAAACCCCATGAAATAACGTGTTCTGAGGACAAGTTAGCCAGAGTATGTCTCTCAAAATAGAATGCATCCAGTGTTGGCAGAAACTATAGCTGTGCGGCTACAATGTGTCACATAATATTGTGTGTGTCTCGTGCACATGAAACGTGTAACTGCTAATTTTACGTTAACAGTAACGTGACAGTTACTTGATAGCAACGGACAACTGCGCTGGTTGATGAAAAGATTCAATTCGCAAATGGTAATTGACGTTAACATCTATCAATAACACAGATCAAAAGACTGCGTAGTTGTTAGCTTGTGTACAGTTAGCTCTCAGGCTATCCAAGCACCCAACGACTTTTCCCCTTCTTGTGCCGCTATGTTAGCAACCCAGCTAACATTAGCTAACTAGCTGTGGCTAACATGATCGAGGCGAGAGCTTACACAAGTGTGCAGAACTTACCACATCCGATATTACTCGGCCTGATTTGTAATGTTAAAATCTGTCTAAGCGAGAAACCAAACAAACAATATGACAAATCAACACAGCCGCTGACGGCAAACTGAAAAGTATATCAGGCTGGCGGGCTCTGAGTGAGCTTTTTTCCACTGGACGTCTCTCTGCCCGGCTGCTCCGAGACCGCTTCACCTCATTCTATTTCAGTTGAAAGCAAAGCAAAGCAGCAACATGTGCACGTTACAGGCAGATCCAATACTCGTATCCAGAGGGTTCGCCCAAAGAAAGTATATTAGCTCATCCGTCGAATTGTGTTCAATGTTCCATACAAACAAGAGCACAAATATTTCATTTACACAGCTAATATATTTATTCAGGCGTAAAGTGTTTGATTCAAAACTGTTTCGGCATAATCGCCTATTCACAGGAATGGACTAATCGAAACCAGACAGACGCAAAGCTTCATGGGACA